AATATCAGAACTACACACCCCACTAGACTGTGAAACCTGGGTCTGCAAGCCAGTTGCAACTTCTTCCTTAATAATTACCTCCATAGAAAAGAAAAAAGTTGCTCGTTCAAGGTTCACTTAATCATAACCATCTTAACGTGCTAACATCCACCTACTTTTCTACGAAGCCCTTCCTGAGAACACCAAACTAACAAAGGCCATCCCCCCAATCTCCCTAACGAAGTACCAAATATTCACAACTATACTGCAGCAGAAAGATAGATCTGTATACAGCTCACACTGACATCCATATCCAAAATTCATTTGAACTCTTGTAAGAACAACTTTTACAAGGTCAAGTCTGTCATACTGCTCACTTTACACACTTTGTTTGCAGCCTGGTATTATTCCATTCTAAGACAGGAAACAAAGTAGATGTGCCACTTCATAACTGTGTTTCAACCACACACGTGCAAAAAAAAAAAAAACAAAAACAAAACAACAAACCCAAAACAAAACAAAAGGGCTCTTCTCAAGGTTTCAATTGTAACACAAACCCCAGCTTTCAGCACTGAATGTACTGATGGTCATTTTCAGAGGGCTCTCAGACTAAGAAAACATAGCTTCACCTGAAATTAGATCTAACAGCTTGCAATTCAGCCAAGTCTCTTTAGAAATATGGCTATCATCTTGAAAGCATAACAACTGCATGGGACAGAATTCACAGTATGCTCCGTTCTTTTAACTAAAATGCTTGATTTGATTCAATTCTTGCGTTTCTGTTTCAAAGAATGAAATACATAGACACAAAACATGTAATATACAAACCTAGCCCAGCTATGATACCTGTTGAGAATAAAGTATGCAAAAATGCCAAAGTCAGTCTTTATAAGCTGAAGAGATGAGCCAATTCTCAGCTCCTCTGCGCTGACAAGGGACCTTAGCCCACCGTCCCCACGTTGCCAGGCAACCATCCCTGTATCCTCAGCTGTATTCATTAGCCATTAACTACCATCAGGCTCCTTTTCTCCCTCACACAAGCTCCCACTCTCACAGATTTATGAAGGGGAGGGGGAAGTTAAACAAGATGACTTTCTTTCTGATCAGAATAACATTCTGAGTTTTAATAGCTCATAGATTTTAGCCAATTCACACAATTCATATAACTGCTTTGTAGTGAAAGATACAGCATGATTACAAGGTATAGTTCTTTTAGTAAGAGGACTCCGTTAAAAGTTGACATTAATAGAAATCTTCTAAAATGCCTATTATTAAGCAGTGATGATCTACTGACAGTATTGAAGTGTCCTTTGAATTTATACACAGATGACAGCTTTTTAACTCCAGAAGAATGGCATTTGACGTGAGGAAATGCTGTTCTAAAACTTGTCAAGATAAATAAAAATCAATTGATCTCAGAAGTAGAAATGTGTTATCTTCAAAGTATTCCATGGAAATAAAGCAAAACTTCAACTACTGGAGGTAGTGATCCACTGTCCTCAATATCAACAAAAATATGCACCACCTCCAATGCAGCAGTTTCCCTGCCTGCCATCACCAAGGCACAGGTTAACACCCACTCAGAGGTACTAGTAGGTAAGTCACACAGCCATAAGCATAGCTAGACAATGCAAATGAAGATGAAAACTCTTTCCCCACCCCCAGCCACAGGTTTGCTTCAGGCAGAGCAATTCTCATCCAGCTCCTCACATTGCAGCCCAACTATCAATGGTGTCACAGGGGAAGTGGCAGGGCCACGGCTTCCTACAAAGGGGAAGATAAAGTTCTTTCAGCAGAAGTTCATACTTGTATCAACTTAATGCTACCATCAAACAAGCCTGTTACACATTCTTGGTACTTCAGAATCTTGCTAGTTTCCTTGAGACTGAAGTTTACTAGAACTCCTCAAGTGAACTATTAAAATGTTGGAAAATTTACTGCAAAGCACTAAAAACCACTGAACATTGCAAACCCCACAATCCTACAACAGGGAAACACAAGATTCCCAGCATAATGCTGTGCAGAGATTTCTCTTGAGCAGAGAACAGAGAAGTTGCACTGTCTCTCTATCCTTTTTTATTTTTGAGACCGGCATGTGAACATGTTTTCAGGTCTGTTAACCATCACTGGAGAAGGTGCTTGGCTAGCGATTATTAGGACAGAGACCTTGAACAAGTCTGGAGAACATCCTTACAAAGGCTAAGAGAGCTTAGTCCGATATTTAATTCAAAGTTGGGGTGCAACTAACTAGCAGTCAAAATAACAAAGCCAGGATCAGAAGTGTGATAACATAAGCTTGTGCTGGTGAGCAGAAAGAAAGAAAAAGTAGTGCTATTTTCAATGCTTCAAGCTGATTCAGATATATTCAAGAAATAAAAAAGGCAAATGTTTTCTAGCAGTGTAATCTGTTGGGCAGTTTTTCAAGAATCATTAGAGCTTTTCCATCACCAGAATCTTCAAGATTGGAGGCTTTTGCTTTGTTTTAAGTGCAGCTACAGAACACACAGAAGTAATTATACCAAGGAAGGCCTATTGCCTCCAGACAGGACAACCACATCAGTTGCTCCAGTTTTCAATTTTTCCATGGTCTGTATATAGCAACTACCAAAGGAGAAAACACACACCACAACGCAATTACATTTGACATGAAGAATTGATAAGAGAAGAATCAGTGCTATCACCTAGGAAGACCACTCTCCCACAATTCCTTAACAAGGCTCCTGGGTATTTTGTTATATACTTCATGAAACAAGACATGAAAATGAATGAAATTTAGCAAAGCATATGTAAAACACAGAAACAACTCTTGATGTCAAAAAACTAGATGACAGAGACAATTCTACAGCATGGAAGGAAATACCCTAACCTCTACTGTTTGCTCCTCAGAGAACAAAACCATTTTTACAGACTCATGTTTCACAAAACTTTCTTCTGGTTGCATCCACACAGGTCAAAATTGAAGATCCTCCTCTCATTTTCAGATGAAACTTCTGTAATTTGCACCCAAAGTAGATAGCACAAGAAAAAGTATTTTAGCTGGCCCATTTATAATCACTTCAGTATAACACACAGTCACACCTATTTGCTACTTAGGCAAATGCACTATTGATCAATCTCTACACTGACAGATTTCTTAAATATTTTCTTTTGATGCGAGACTAAAGGAATTGTTGAATTTGTTTGGTATTACCAAACAGCACAGACACAGCATGAGAATCTGAAACCATTCTTGCTGCAACCGCATGGCCCAGAGGGCACTGGGAGAGATCCCATCTTCATGGACAGCAGCCTCTCCATAAGCACAGCTCTCCATCTATTGTGCCAAGTTATCTGTTCATTGTGCTTATGGGAAATATTTGAAGTATAGAGTGGAAACGGCTATCCTGGCCAGACAGAGCTACTTCTCCGAACTACTGGGAAATGCAATTTTGCTTTTTTTATTTATTGTGACTGTCTAAATTCTGTTAGGCTGTTTTTTACAAATTCTAAAGTTACATAACTTCTTCATTGCAAGCCTGTCATCTGTAACTTTACTAAAGCTTCATTTCATTAACACTTTACCAGTACCATGACAGTAATTTAGATGTGTTAAATACTTGCAAAGAATAAGACATTCTCACTGCCTGTGAGTCGTTGGGTATTTCCCAAATATCTCAAATATTAAGTTTAAATATACACTTAACTGGAGCCTTACCACAGGAACATCTGTATTTAAATATTGTTCAAATCAGAAAATTATTAATAGCAAATTATTTAAATAACTCCATAATCCTTAAAGAAAACTTCCAATTCTCATTAAGCCCTAAGAGAAGGATTATAATCCCACCTGAAAGGGGATACAACCAAGCCTGTGATAGAGTGTCATTAAGTAGGACAAAATTATAAAACAAAGCAAAACTCTTATCCTGGTGTGGGTTGCTGTCCTACCCCACTGGCAGCTGGGCAGGCTCACTGAAGGCCCGGCTGTCTGGAGCTTGGTTTTATGGCAAATCCAGTATCACAACCCCTTATACTAGTGATATGAAGTAGCATATGGCTTCTGTCTAATAGCATTGGTTAAATATGAAGAAAGTTTCACTTGAAAGTAATGGTTTTTGAGTACAGCAATCTCACTGACCAATTCATCTACACACACAGCAGGGCAAATAGATCCAAAAAGCTTCAAACACTGAAAATTACCCATTTTCATTGATTTCAGTGAACAAACAAAACTTACTAAACAGTCAAATGAGGCATAGCCATGACATTTAGTGGAGATTGAGAATATTTAACTAAAGTCACAAGTAATTAACTGTCCGTAAAGTTATTAAAAGAATTATTTCCGCAATAATTTTACAAATAAAACAAGCTTCCTGCATCCTACCACATAACACAGCAAGTTAAACAATTCAGGAGGAGAAATACTAAATAATGCAGTGTTAGAGGATACACCTTCCATATACATGAGAAATCAAAGCATACATATATAATGAAAGCTATAGAGTGCTGAAAATTAGTCTCTCATTTGGCTCTTACTTTCCTACAGATATTTAATTACCCCTTAGTCATTTTCACTGCCTTACTCTCTATACCAGGAGTATGGTACCATGACAGTAAAATTAAAATGAACAAAAATGTGAATCCTCATTCTAGCAATTTTGTTTGCAACTGAGCTCATGAAATACAGAAGCCAGAGTTGCAACCTGATTTTTAATTATTTATACTTTGCTGCCTTCATAATTTCATATTTTCCATTCAATTATAGTGATCTCTCCTTCATATGCATATTACATTTTTAGACAAAAACAGACACTTGCCAAGGCAGTACTGTAAGACACATAAGCATTCATGCTACTGACTTTTTGTTTTATTACTGAAGCCTACCCCAAATTCATGTTTATATTTTGACAAAACAAAGTTTTGCAGCTTAACTCCTTAAAATGCATACTTTCTTTGTTCTGAGCACATCATATCCTCACATTTCTTTCAAACAGAACAATTCTGATGTTAAAACAGGTGTTTGATACATTTTTTTCATTTACCTTACAGCCAAAGTGGGATCAGTTTTTTCAAGACTTTTTCACGAAGACATATTTTCAATCTGGCCTCAACATTAACACTCTGAAAAAAAGGAACACATCATATTTTATAACACCAGTCACTGAAACAGAAAACTAATCATTTTCAATGATGTAACCTGTAAATATTAAGTACAAGACACTTTCCTAACACAGCAGCAAAGTAGAACATGTTCTTAAATATACTGGTACTTATGAAGTATTTTTCACATTTAAAGAAATAAAGTGAAGGTGGTTTCTTTTCCAAGCTGTTCCATAGACACCCACAATGTGGAACTCACCAAGCTATTCCACTGCCCCACTTCATTTTACAGGACCTCAAGCAGCAGTAATCCCAATAAAAAAAATAAAAAAAATGCACTGAAGTAGCAGGAGAGCAGTGCCCATCTCTCAGACACTAGGCTTTCATATAAATTTTACTGAGCCAACATAATGGCTGCAGCAGCCACTTAAAAACTGGCTTCCCCTTGTGCAGATTAAGAAGGTGGGAAAGAGCAGCTGGAAGATGGACAGGCTTCAGATGGGAGATGAACTTTTACATCTTTTCTTAGGTATGCATTCAAAGATCTGATCAAAGTTATCCTTTCAATAATCAGAAGAATAAAAGCTGGGAAGAAAAATTTAAAAGCCATGTTTGAATTAATCATCAGGAGATGAAGCATCTTAAAAAAAAAAAAAAAAAAAAAAAAAAAAAACAACACAACTGATGGTACTTTAACTATTCATGCTTCAGCTGTTACTGTAATTGCCTTCAAGGTAATCCTGCAGAGTCACAGTTCACAAAAACAGAAGAACAATAGGGAGAGAGTCCCCTTATCTTTGTAGATTTGAACTCTGTCAGAGATGCATGAAGCAATTTGGGCTAGGAGAACACTAAGTCATCACCTGGTTCAACAGCCCATTTAAAGCAGGAATTACATCAACATTACATCAGGATGCTCAGAGCCATGTACAGTCATGTAAAAATAGGATGAAAATACTAGCCCTAAAGTGGATTCACGCTTTGCCCTTCAAAGACCTGGTCCCATTTTCACTAAGACAGATGAAAATGGACTGCAGCAAGGCATCAAAAATTTAAAATGAAGTAAGGATGGACTTAACCCAGTTCCAAAAAGCACATTTCCTTGAGTCATAAATACAATAGAATTCTACTTTTCTGCAAAACAACACATTTAAATTATAGAAGCCCATGCTAGCACACATTTCAGTTACGGTTTTAGTGAACAAGATAATACGGAGGGGGGATAAAAGGGAAAAAAAAGAAAAAATCAGTTCTTCCCCTGGACCAGAAAAAGACTTATTTGCTCACAGGTCGCAGATAAAAGCTTCACGTTAGAACACTTTATCTGTCTTACAGTTATACTGCTCAAAAGATGAACTGTGAGATCAAATCCAGCTTTCTATTAAGCTCTAGAGATAGCCACATGCCATGCAACTCATGGGACTTCAGGTTTGGACATTAGTAGTAGACACGGCATATGTGAGGAAAGCATTTCAAAAGGGCATGAAAACTAATAGGTCTTACGCATACATGTAACAAAGAAAAAAAGCTGCTACTAATGATACTACTCAGTCAAGATTCAGAACTACAGAAAGAAGACAACTTTACAATTCCAGAGAATTCTGAGAGATTCTCCCAAAGCTGCCCACTTAGAAGAACCTTGGATTTCTTCCAAGCGGGGGGGGGGGGGGGGGGAATCAAATCTAGTCAAACTAAATATAAACTAATCAAAGTTTTTTGTGTTGTACGAGGCTGAAGAACAACTGCAAGGGCAAATTTAAGACAGAGAATGTTTTGTTTTTTTTAAGTCTAATCGAAAACCAGAGAAAAAAGAACACAGTGAACTGTCATCAGGTTATAGTTTTCTCCAGTCTTTTGCGTTTAGTCACAGCATTATTTAAAACATGGAGAACATTTTAAGGTTTTGCTGTCACTATCACTCATACCTGCAGAATCTTACAGCCCTGCGTCTTCTAGATATGCAGTTAAAGAGGGGACAATGTGATTTGTCCATTTACAGAGTAATGAGATTCAGGACTAGGAACTAAAGGTTTTGTTTCAGTTTTCCCCTTTACCATGTAGACACACCTTCTTCATAACTGACAACCTTCCTGTGCAGGGTTGACTATGTTCATATATACTTCATGTCCATGCCCCCTGTACCTTTATCTTCTAAGCAACTAGCAAAAGTACAGATAATGACACTGAAGCAATTTAGGCAGGCAAGCATTAACTCAAGGAAAAAATTCCTGGTCACAAAACCTGAAGAAATTATTCTCTCCTCAGCAAAGTTTTTATTTGAAAGATAAATATTTTTGCTGGGAGAGAACACTGCAAATTAGAGCAGAAATCCCATCTGACTTAGAATTATAATTCTTGCATTTTGCATGAGTTTCAGAATGCAATGGGTAGAGAAGGTAGGGAGAGGAGGGAGGAATACAACAGCTAACAGATTAGATGTTGTCACTTACGATCCATCATCACATTTTCTCAGATTATGAAAATAAAATTTCCCCAGTAGTACATTTTATGCTTGACAGATTACAGATTTGTTTACACTTTTAAAATTGGAGCACTTGGATTTTACAGAAGTTCAGGTCTCCTGACACCAGCCTTTATTATACAGTTTGACATGAGTCAAGAGAAACATTCAACAAGACAATGCCACACACACTTTCAGGCAATGAAATGGGCGAAGTCACAAACTCCTTAATGATCACTTCAGCAAGTCTAAATTTCACACTTTTTCCTTGACTATACAGCTGGCTCAGAAAGGTCATTAGACTATTATATTCACTGTTATGTAGAGCAGCACTATACACATGCAAAGTTTCTATAGCAACACTTTCTTAATTCACTCTTTAAGCAAAACACCAATTAGCTTTTTATTACAGCCAATTAAAAAAGTCTGCACGCTAATTGACAACCTCTCTACTCAGAATTTAAGCTTCTGCAAAAGAAAATTGCTGTGAAATTTTGTGTGGTAATAGCTTACTTCCTATTCTTCCTTCTTAACAGAACAGTGAATTATTCTTGGTACAGGCTGAATGTTTATTTTCAATCCAAAATGTTTAGACACAAAGAAGTAACCTATCCTCATATGACTTAAATCTTCATAGACCCTGAAGACCAAAAGCTTCAGAAAGGCAAGAGAAATGTAATCAACAGACTTATTTCTGCATCACAGGAAACTGGGCACAGGCCTATGCACTTGGAGATCATGCAAGAAGCAGCCACCAACTTGCTTATCTCAGAGTATTTAAGCATGTTGAGCCAAGGAAGAAGAATGGCAAAAAACAGTAAAAGTCAAATTCAGTAAGGCAGCAGAGACATTTTCATTTGCTTCTAAGTACTTATTGATGGTTTTCTCAGTTGTCTTCTACACAGCTGGTGATGACAGCTTCTCTGTATGGCACTTCAAGTAGCAAATATCAAGATACATTAGTCAGAAAACAGTCAGCAAGCACAATATAAAAAGAAACACATCACGATTCAGAGTAACAGGAGAAGTAATAAACAGCAAAAGCTAAACTGTCCTTCTGAGTAAGATGTTGGGCAGGAAGCTGAGTAAAAAACATTGTTCTCCTTACAGTTCTTCCATGTGAGATGTCAGTATTCACATTACTAATAAATAAATACACACAGAATAAAGCAGCAGAGGGCTACTTTGATGGGCTTGGCATGCCCCAATCAGGAATTAAGGGTACATGAGTATTTCAGGTCTGCAGGTTCTTAAGGACAATCTACAGAAACTATTTCTATTGTCACCACCTTATAATTACTTATGCTGCCTTATACTGCAGTATTAGTATACAAACTTAAGACATCTGACAAGTTATGTGGGGACACAATAAGCAGTAAACAAAATATTCTTTTAAAAGGCTGATGAAAAGAAATAGGAGTTACAGTCATCTTCCAATCTTACCACTGTAGAGAACAGAGCCACGCATCCTGACATGTGGAAGAGATCACTATGTATAAACTCGGAGATGAAGAAGGGTCTGCAGCATGAGAAGACCATCGGCTGCAAAGTCAATAGAGTCTGGAGTGCAACAGCGGGCTACGCAGTAAGCAAGGACACCTTACCTCTACAAGGGACTAGGATTAAGCAACACAGCTACAGGCTTTTATACTTGGTTCTTTAAAGAGATAAACTAAAACACAACTCCTTGAATGGACGGAAAGTGTTAAAACATTGGAGCTTAAAGCCTTCCAAGTGCAAAGTCCCCACTACCAGATGCACAGCTCCACCTCCTGCAGAGAGACTGTATCACTCCAAGACACAGTACACACTGTTACACGCAGAGTAAGTACTAATTGAAACTAATGTCGTTATTTGTGGTCCAATGACTTTGAAAACTTCTCTTCTAGTAAAACCCTGCTACCAGCACCTCACCTCACTGACGGATCACGCAGCTCTGCAGTGTACATCTCTCCCTTCTCTGCCATTGAAAGAAGGGGACCAACCAATGTCCCAGGACAAAACCTATCCATCAGTCACAGCAATACAGCAGTGAATACTTGAGAGTGCCAAAACAAACAAATTAGCTTTTTTCCTCCCTTTTTTATTCTTTTAAGCTTTCTGCATTGGTATTTCAAGCAATTTAATATTTCAGTTAGTGTGGGTCTACCCTGTCAGTTAAATATTACACACCAACAGAGTGTATCTGAGGAGAAGACTTAGGGCAAAATTTAAAGGTAATGGCAGAGCTACTTATTGGTAGCAGCCAGGATCACCTTCAGCTGCTCTCAGGGAACTTACATTCCCAGTACCAGAAACACTCCAATCGATAACAGTCACTTTTCAAATACATGACCACTAGGTATGTCTTTCCTACTTTCTTCTCTGATTTGCTCTTTGCCCAATCAGAATGAACTGAACAGTCACATCCATGCAGTCAGGCAGGTGGTGTGTGATGTGAAAAGCCATGTGGGAGTAAAACAATAGGTATGATTTCTGGCCATCTCATTCTGGCCAAGAAAACACCTTCAGTGGCCTAAGATATGAACCCAAGCCATCTGTGCAGCCATCCCAGGTCTTT